CATCTTCAGGCTTGTGTCTTCAGCTCTGTGCTTCTCACTCTGATACACACACACACACACACACACACACACATAATATGACACTAGGCAGGCTTGGAGCCCATGGATGATGGGAACAAAGCCAAAAAGAGTACATTCCAAATGTATTTCTCACACCCAGACACCCAGAGAGAAACATACAAATGCATCACCTCAGAATTAGGTTAAGCAGTGTAAGTCGAGGAGCACTGGAGGGTTATTGAAAAAGAAATATACCTCTCTCCCCCTTTCCCCAATCTGGTGCATTGCAAATATATTGAATTCATTACTCTAGGCCTTGGGAGGCCAATAAGATTGGAGGAAAACAGAATGAGTAGATAGTAACATTCATGAATTCATGAAATTGCAGTGCTCTGCTATTATACAAAAGTGCTATGTAATTCTTGAATCTTGATATTTGGGAAATATGGAACACATGGAACAGAAATTTGAGTGGCTATAATGAAAGTTACATCCAGAGTGACTGTGTTCATACCACATGGTAAGACAGTGTCTACTTAGCCATCATTTGCTGAATAAACCCACAATAAACTGAGAACTATAAACAATGGTTTAATAGAACAATGCCAGGTTCATACAACACACTACTAAGCTGAAAAACAAGCTAGCACCTATCCAAACAAAAGAAGAGACAATAACATTCCATTTAATCCCAATAAAATATATTCTGAACAATGCTTTTGTCTTAAGTCTGTTGCTCAGTTTATGCACGTTCACACCTCTTCCCTTCCCAATAAATGGTGGGTCATGCTGGCCAGGGAATTCTGGGAGCTGAAGTCCACACATCTTAAAAGTTGCCAAAGTTGAAAAACATTCTTTCAGAGGGCTTGGATTGTTTAAAAAAAAATTAAAATGTTTCCCTTATGTATCTCAGTAAACTTTACAGATATTCTGCAAAGTATGCTAATATTGTGTTGACTGAGAGACTGAGAGGCTGTGTTCATACAACAGGCTGTTATAGATTCCTTACCCATGATACACGAAAAAAATCAAAGTTGTTGGGGTCACATCAAATATTTAGAATGGGTGAAATTTGAACCTTCCTAGTTTAGAGCTCAGATACTTAAATACTAGCATTCTAGTTGTTACCGGCCATAGATAATAGTCAAAAGCAAGTAGGCTGTCTTTTTTCTGGATTCTTTAAAAAGTATTCCAATTGCTCATTAAAATCAAATTAAGAATATTTCATGCCCACCCAGACCTATGCTGTTAAATCACTTTTCAGCATCAGTACTTCTGAAAGAGGTAACTCCAGCCATTATAACATTAATGCGAAAACTATTGAACTGATGATAAACAACTAGAAGAAACAGGCAGAGGAGGGAAAAAGTGCTGTATAATTGATAGCTGAAAAAGCAGAGAAGTCTTGGAAAACAATCTGTGGGCTGCAATCTTTGGGGAACCAATCGATCATTTCAAAGATATTATCATCAAATTATCAGGCCATAGAATTGCTGGCTCCTAATTACATTGCTCTTGAAAAATCAAAACAAATCCAGCTACTCTACTGTAGTTGCTGTGTTTCAAGGTGGATATAATGAATGCTGCTCTTTCTCTTCCTTTCTCCCCACAAAGTTTCTGGAACATTTCTCTCTCCCCACTCCCACCACCTAGGATAGATTGTCTTCAGATACATCCTCTTTTTTATGAAACATTTGACTTTTATTGAGTCTATCATCTGCACCTCTATAACTGTCTGGTTTGGTTCTGCAACCCAACAGGACAGACATAGACTTCAGAGAGTAACTAGGACTGCAGAAAAAACAATTACTACCCACCTGCCTTCAATCGAGGACCTGTAAACTTCACAAGTAAAAAAGAGGACTGTGAAAATATTTAGAGACCCCTCACATCCCGGACATAAACTGTTTCAACTCCTTCCCTCAAAACAAAGCACTGCACACCAGAATAACTAGACACAAGAAGAGTTTTTTCCCGAAAGCCATCACTCTGCTAAACAAATAATTCCGGTCAACCCTGTTCAACTATTTACAAAGTCTGCGTTACTATTATTGTTAATCTTCTCATCACTCCTTTTCACCCATCCCCTCCCACTTGTAACTGTATGACTGTAACTTGACTGTTTCCTAGTATGATTTGATTGCTTATTGTACCCTATGACTATCATTAAGTGTCGTACCTTATGATTCTTGACTCTTGACGAATGTATCTTTTCTTTTATGTATACTGAGAGTATTTACACCAAGACAAATTTCTTGTGTGTCCCATCACACTTGGCCAATAAAATATTGTATTCTATTCTATTTAGTCCCCTTGGTCTTCTACTTTTCCCCTAAAGGGAAATAAACAGCCAACTCTGAACAACTGCAACACACACACACACACACACACACACACACACACACACACACACACACACTCCCTTCTCACTCCTGTGGGTGGTATGTGTCTTCTTCAGCCTTGGGTCCTCTATCAAAGGCCTGAGTGTTTTGAAGGTTCTGTGCAGTATCTGTTGCAGTAACTGTTCCTAGCACTGCATTCTTCTGAATCAAGAGCTCTGATGTTGTTCCTGTGAGCCTTTGTTGGAGCCATTCTCCCAGTTTTGGAGTCACCGCCCCAAGTGCTTTTATCATCAGTGGGACCATTTTGGCTGTGGCTTTCCTCACCTCCTCTAGTTCCTTCTTCGAGCCTGGCACTTTTCAGACTTCCCGGACTTCTTCTTTCTGGTGTGGTTGTTATTTGGCACAATTACATCTATCACTACTGCTCTCTTCTGGTCTTTGTCTGTTAATTTGTCTACTACTACAGTGTCTGGTTGATTGTCTACTTTCCTGCCTGTCTGTCTGGATCCGAAACTCCCACAGATTCTTAACCCTTTTATTCTCCACGACCTTCTGTGGAAACTCCTTGATGGCTGGCTGGGGAATTCTGGGAGTTAAAGGCCTCACATCCTTCAGTTGCCAGGGTTGAGAGACACTTATCTACCCCTTGGGTTCTATCTAATGTGGTAAATCCCTGCTTCTAGGGTATGGATCTGGTGCTTAATGCCTGTTCTTGTGCTGCCATGGTCAGTGCTGCTATTTACACACACACACACACACACACACACACACACACACACAGAGAGAGAGAGAGAGAGAGAGAGAGAGAGAGCATTCAGTTGCTCTGGTGTATGTGTGTGTGTGTGTGTGTGTGTGTGTGTGTGTGTATTAATTTTACCATTACCCACAGAATACATGGACACATATTTCCCCTAGGGACAAATTCTAGAAGGGCAACCGTGTTACCCTGCTATTTCAACTAGGAAAACAACAGACTCTTGCAACACGTTAAAGACAAAGCAACTAACTGATTGCAGTTCTGCTGCTTGTGGACATCACAAGCACAATCAGCATTTCCTGCGGATTCTTTAGAAGACGGGGGAGATTAGTAGCACTAGCTATCGAGAGTAATACTTCACAAATCGGGTGAACTGGTGCTCATTCATTACAGTTTATGCCGGGAGAAATCTGCCGCAAGAATGACCCCCCCCCCGCCCCCTTTATCCTTTTCCCTTTGCAAGAGCCTTGGGGACAAGGAAACCAACCATTTAAAGTTTCATGCATAGCCACGGCTATTTATTATGCCCTAGTTATTTAGCGATGTAGAAAGGTGCACTGCAGCAGATGTGTTTCTCAGCTGTTAGCGCGCGCGCGCGCGCGCGCATACACACACACACACACCAGAGCAACGACAGAAGCAACCTACAAAGTATGCCTCCGAGAACGCCAATTCATCCTCAATAAATACGGCCTTTATTCGCTTCTCCGGCTAGATAGACGGAATCTTTCGAAACACATCTGGGATGTTTTTCCGTCTCCAGGCTCCACGGCAGCGGGCAGCAAATCCCAGCATCCGATTTCGGGAGGGGAAAACAACAACAACACAGGTTTCCAAGCCCATTGCAGAAAGGCGGAGTTTGAGGGGGGGGGGAGGCGGGAGGAAGGGGGGGGGGATGACACCTGTCGTTGTCATCGTCCCTATTTCCTGACTCGATCTCGCTATCAAACTTACATACAACTGCGGCGAGAAGAACTATCTCCGATCTCCCCACCGCCCCACAAGCCCTTGCCTTTGCCTTCAGCTTCCCAGACGAACTTCAGTCGCAAAGCGCGATCGGAGCGCTCCAAGCCAGAAAGAGAGAGAGGGAGGGGGGAGGGAGGAAAGAGAGAAAGAGAGAGGGAGGAAGGGAGGGAAAGAGAGGGAGAGAGCCAGCGCGCGCGAGAGAGAGCCAGCAAAAGAGGGAAGGAGGAAAGAGAGAAAGAGAGAGGGAGGGAGGGAGAGAGAGAGCCAGCGCGAGAGAGAGCCAGCGAAAGAGGGAGGGAGGAAAGAGAAAGGGGGGGGGAAGGAGGGGGAGAGGGAGGGAGGGAGGGAGAGATGGAGGGAGGGAGAAAGCCAGCGAGCGAGAGGGGGGAGAGGGAGGGAAGGAGGGAGGGAGAGGGAGGAAGAGAGGGAGGGAGGGAGAAAGCCAGCGAGAGAGAGAGGGAGGGAGGGAGGGAGGGGGAGAGAGCGAGCGAGAGCGAGCAGCGAAACGCCTGCCTTCCGCACCCGCCACCTTCCCTTCCCAGCCCCTCCGCTCACCATTCCCCCCACTCCCACCCACCCCCGGGGCCAAAACCCCGAAAGTGTCCGCCCGACCTGCCAGGCTGTTGTAACAGTCGATTTCGATGCTGTCCAGCAACTGCCTCTGCTCGTCCGAGAGTTTGCCCAGGCCGGCAGCCCCCGCGGTCGAGGCGGTCGAAGCGGCCTCCTCGGAGTCTTCCTGGGCCAGCAACAGCCCCTTCAGCTCGAGCAGCGCCCGGTGATACTTGCCGATGGCTTCCCGGCACTTCTTCTCCTTGTAGCACTGAGCGCCTTGGCTTTTGAAGTCCAGCGCTCTTCGGATCAGCTGCTCGGGCTCGGCAGCCGGAGAAGCGGCGGGAGTAACGGAGAGCTGGCCGCAGCCGCTACTCCGAAGCTGGGCGCCCGCCGCTGCCCCGCCGCTACCCTGGGCGCAGTGCCCGTCCCCTGCTGCCCGGTTGCCCGGGTTCGGCTTCCCCGCAGTCGCGGGGCTCTTCCGCTCCATGCCAGCCGCTGCTTGGCTCCTCCTCGCTCTCAGGGCGGCGGCGGCAGCAGCAGCAGCAGCAGCAGCTCCGACTCTGGTGCCAGAGAGCGAGAAGCCGCCGCTGCCTCTGCCGCCGCCACCTCTTCTCCCTCCTTCTCCCTGCCGGAGGAATCAAGCTCCCGGCTGGCTGGGGCTGCTGCCACCCTTTGGCTCGGCGCGGCTCCTTGCTCCCATCCTCCAGTCGCCCCCTGGCAAGAGCGGGGCACCGCCGCCTCCTCCTCCTCCTCCTCCTTTCCTCCTCTCCGACCTGCCTCCCGGCGCGCGGGGCGCGCGGGGCTGCTGGTTCCCGCGCCGCGGCGTTGTTTCTGAGGGGATTTCGCCGAGGGGCGATTGGTGCCAACCCAGAAGATTCTGCCCGCACGCAGGGAGGGAGGGGAGGAGGGGCGGGCAAGGAGCCCAACCGCTTGCCCAGCCCGCTCTCCGTCCGTCCAGCTCTAAAGGCACCGGGCGACGTATGGGAAGAGGTGGGGGGGGGGAGCGCAGGGGGTGAAGAGGAGAGCAGGTGACGTAGGCAGAGAGGGGGGAAAAGCAGAGCGCCACGCCTCGAATTTGGGGGTGGCGTTGGGTGGGGAATAGGGGGGAAGCCACCATCTCTTTGCCTCTGAGAGATCAAGGTATGTAGGTTTTTAAAGGGACAGGCATCCTGGATCGGAACGCTTGGGCGGGGAAAGGACGGGCGACCGGCCCCTAAGCGCCTGTATATAAACACAGGTAGTCTTCTGCTTAACAACAAGCTCATTTTAGTTTTATTTTTATTGGCATTGCACCTCGTACAACGAAATCAAACGCCATCTTCAGCGCACACAGTGACCATGGTCATGAAAATAAACACAAACACACATCCTTCACTCTCCACACATGGAACCGAAAATTCAAAGTTACATCTAGCTCTGGAAGAAAAAAAAAGGAGAGTATGACCATTTTGCACACTTACGACCGTTGCAGCGTCCCCAATGGTCGTGTGATAAAAATTCAGACGCTTAGCAACTGCCTTCATAAGTCTGACCAGGGATTGTCCTGGGATCAGCTTTTGCAACCTTTTGACAAGCAAAGCCATTGGGGAAGAAGCCAGATTCACTGAATTACTAGTTGCTAGCTTAACAAAGGTAAGGATTCCCTTAACAACAGCGGCAAGAAAAGTCGTAAAATGGGGTGAAGCTCTGTTAACACATATTTTGCTTGGCAACATAAATTTCCGGCTCAATTGCGGTCATAACTCAAGGACTAACTGTACAGTACAGCAGTAGCTAGTGAAGCTCACCTGGTGGCAGTTCGCAGTACAGGGCTTACAGCTTGGAGCAGAGGCTATAATGATGGTGAAACAGAAGGGAGATCCTGGGTAAACGGGAAGAAGAAGAAGAAAAAACCCAGCAGAATAAAAGGCAGAAGAATGGGATACTTGGGCCTGAGGTTGTGGTGAGGATCATCCACACCTGGGTTTCTTCTACCCTCCCTTACCCCTATAGCAGTGGTTTGGAAGATGCTTTCTTTAGTGCATTTCTTCCCTTTCCCCATTGCTGCTTAAAAACAACCTGATCTACAACAGATCATTTGGAAAAGGATTATTGTCTCATGTTCAAAATAGGGGTGCATAAGAACATTTCTCCCTCTCCTAACTTCCAAGTGATGTCTTCTGCCTTGTCATTCTTACTAAGGAGTCAAATAGGATGACTTTCCCCAAATCATCAGGCCTATATAGGCACTATGTCCACAGCCATTTAGTCTAATCACCTGCATTTGAGGAAGCCCTGAGCCCATTCTGCAGGCATGAAGCTTAGAGGTGATACTTCTCTCCTCCATGAATGTAAAATCACCCATTGCAGATGCTGGCTAAAATGTGACGCTTGGGAAGTTAAAGTAAAAAATGATTATCCTATTCCCAAAAACATTCCATTTGGAAAGATAACGTCTTCCGGGGATTGTGCATTTTGTCTTGAAAATTAATAATAAAATAATTGATTTTTTTTTGGCGTCATCCTAGAAGGAAGTAACTTTGGAAAGGGGGCACAATAAAACAGACCCAGCATTATATTAATTTGAGATAAATCTAATTCACACAGGCTTAATTTTCTCAGTTTAATTGTGTGAAGGTGTCTTAGATCCTAATTTCCACAACCGCTAGCCAACATGGTCATCCGGTATAAAGTGAGGTCAACTGGAAAATATTTGTCATTACAGAAAATACCCATCAAGTTCAATTGATTCCCCAACAAGTAAAAGATTGTGCTTCTAGAATACCTTACCTAGACTCTATAACATTTGCTAGAAAGGATTTGTTTTGGAGATATTTGTTAGCTTTTTTTTTTTTTTTACTTATTGTAACTTTAAATATGACTGGATGAATGAATATGACTTAGAAATAATACAGTTTAATAGGTGGCTGTATCTCTGTATATATTTAAATCTTCCTAATTTGCCTTTCAGATCAAAAAGACCTCAGTGATTAAAATTCAAAAACTTTAAAACAACCCTCAAAAGTTAAGGTATCATCTCACAAAGAAATTATAGAGCCAGCAAATACTGTATATTCATGTAAAGGTGACTTACTGAATAAATTACAGTGGCTGGTTTATACAGCTGACAATGGCTGAACTGACTGTGGCATCACACAAAGGATAAACTGATCAAAATAATCTGATTCTGTTCTTTCTTCCAAAAAATATTTGTTTTTCTCCTGGGTTGTGTTATAACCCATAATTTAGGATTTCATGCTGCACCCGAAGAAGCAGGCCACTTGAGCTTGTTCAAAAATCGAAATCTGAAACCAGGTATTAAAACTACAATTTCCTTCAAGTCACATTCCTGGTGCCCATGGCCAAACCCATGCATATTGTTGGAGGGTGTTTTTTGTTTTTTGTTTGCAAGAGTACAGCTTACAGTTGCCTTTTTTCCAAATATTTTTTCAGCTTTCTGTCTAGCTCACAGATCTGAGATTTCCTGGTGCCTCCCAATCAGTTGCTAACTACTTCCATTCCAACTTTGAAAGTCTAATAGCAGCCAGGTCAGATAGGTGCCATGAACAATCCAGCCAAAGTAATGGTAGCTTGCTGCAGATAGGAAACATTTATTTAAACACATATATATGAGTGCCCAATTCGCACAAGGCAACTTTAGTGATTCCACAATGTAAAATCCTATAACACTCCCCTCAGCAGCAGTCACAGGCACAATCACACCAAACACTTGATGGCCTCCATTTCAGCCTGGGATCCCCAGGCCCACTGACAGAACTGTGTCTTCAGGGCTTTCCGTAAAAGTATCAAGGTGAGGGCTAATCTTATTTCTTGGGGAATGATATTCCACAGGGAGGGATCCACCATGGAGAAGGCGGGACTTTTCTGGGTCCCACTAGATCACAGGTATCAAACTTGCAGAGCTGGGGTGGGCGTGGCCTGCATGTGATGCATCCGGTCCGTGGGCCACCAGTTTGTCACCCCTGCACAAGAGGCACTGTCCTAATAAATGGGATCTGTAATCTACCTTGCCTTCTGGCTCTGGTGGGCTGGGTAAATGTAACTGGAGAGGTGGTCCTTCAAATGCCCTGCCCGCCCCCCCCCCCCCATCATAAGCAGCACCTTGAATTGCACTGGGAAGCAAATCAGTAATCAGTGCAGCTCCCATAAAAGAGGTGACTTATCTTGATTTGTGCAAATCGGGGGGGGGTGCATTTTGACTCAACTGAAGCTTCATGTTGAGTACATCACAGAATTCCACATGAGATGACTAGGGCATGGGGAGAGTGTGAGAAGGGCACATTGATTGGGAAAGAGTATAAGTGGTGCACAACCAGGGGTGGGATTCTACCAGTTCGCACCTATTCGCTAGAACCGGTTGTTAACATTCTAAGCAATTCGGAGAACCGGTTGTTAGAAGAAATTACTGGACTAATCCTGTAAGGAAGGCAGGAAGGAAACATTCTGGTGTTGCCTGCAGAAACTGCCTCTCCGTTAACCCTTATTACATTCTTGGCAGAGACTTCCTGTTTCAGGAACGTCTCTGGAGTTTTTTTCCCCCTCCTTTACTGGTACTTTGCTTGTGTGGAGTAACCATTCAAAGTTACAATGGCACTGAAACAAGTGACTTATGACCATTTTTCATGCTTACGACTGTTGCAGCATCCCCACAGTCATGAGAGGCCAGGCTAGGAGATGCGTGTCTCGATGTGAGTGATATTGAGTTGGCCACACCCACCACTGAGTTGACCACCAAGCCATGTTCACCCAGTCACATGACCACCAAGCCACACCCACTACCTAAGCCCCATCCACAGAACCGGTTGTCAAAAATCTGAATCCCACCCCTGTGCACAACTCACAGAGCAATGAGTCCAAGAGAACTCCCAGATTATGTACTAAGTCTGTTTGGGGCAGTGCCACCCCATCCAAGACTAAAAGTGGCAATTTTCCAAAAGCCAAGAAATCATGGACATAAAACCTCTCCATCTTGGCAGGCTTCAGTTTTAATCTTTTGTTTCCCATTCAGACCTCAACAATCCCCAGAAAATGAGAACGGGCAGCTGAAGCAGGGATGTGTGTAACTATCATCCAAAGGAAACTTGAAAGGCCTCTGAAGCCAAGAATAAGCCATAGCCTGCTTCCTATGGGGAGAATATATGTGTGGGTGTGTGGGGAAATTAGATTGTTTGCAAATAGCAGTAGGTGTAATTAAAAGTCATTCAAGAATTGGTGTGTATGCATGAGGTAAAAACTGAAGACAAAACATGCAAGCCTTAATCTTATCTCTTACAGTCATCAGAAGTGAGTGTCTCATTGAAATAATGAATATGAAATGCCTGCTATGATGCAATTAGTCATCTTTTGGCAACGGCAACCACTTCAAGTATTAAAGCTGCAATCAGTTTTTTTCTGGAGATAATTTAATAGCATTTTAATGAATTCTATACAGTAAAATGAGGACTGCCATATCTGGATTATAAAACTCCAGGTGACCAATAGATGGCA